TATACATTTTTCTAACGGCGGATCCATGGATGTAATCAGTTTTTCACAGAAGTCTGTGATATTCGAAAGGCTCTCTCCCCACACAGTTAAACTGCTTATTATGGCCAAATAATCAAAAAGGGGAAACAATCATTTAACTTTATAATTTTTCAAAGTGTGGACTTCATATGCCCTACATCATTAATCATGTAGGTTTCTTATTCCAAATACAGGTTCTTGGCCTTACTGAATTAAATTATCCGGGCCTACCTGCCCTCCCCTCCCCCATCTCCTGGCTAAATATGCATGCTTAACAAGCTCATAAGGTAATTTAATATTATATATAACAGAAAGACAGGAGATTTATAATATTTACATACTTATTATACATAAATATGAAATATATATTATTTACAGGCAAAATTATAGATGATAGGCCTCCTATTAAAGTTTGGAAGAGAGAGATAAAACCTTAATATCTGCCTATTTTAATCATATATTACATAACTGAAACTCTTGATGGCTCCCATTGAAATTTTGAAATATCTATAAAGTTAAATATTTTTGCAAGCAGCATTTAAGTACATCATCTATAAGATGTAGCATCGAGGGGGCTGAAATTTGCATTCAATGCCCATCTATCACAACTTCTGTTTATTACCACTTCCTCAAACTCCTGTCCACCATTCTACAAGTATAAATATCAGAAATGGAAATTGGGTTTTCATGATCTTTTTTAAACAAGCATTTTTTAACTGCTTCCTATGATTTTTTTCTCCTCTGGGTGTTTTCAAAATTGATTTATCAGTGGAAAGATTTTCACTTCCAGAATTTTGTTAGGTATTAAAGTCGGGCTAACAGGTCAGTTATTCCCACGTACCTTCTATTTCATTTCCTCAATTATCCTAATGTTCTAAGCTGCTCAGTCTTCAAATTGTCCATGCAGTAGTTTCCTTTCTAAAATGTAGCTGTTGAACAGAGAAAGAACAGTTCCAAAATGACAGCATAAAAATATAGAGGAATGATTTGTATAAAACTCTAATTGGCACTTTGTATGACATTTTAAAGGCATTAAGTATTTCAGACCCATTAAGAAAATTGTTATTATTGTACAAGTCACTTTAAAAGAATAAATTTACCCACCAGGCTGTTAAAGCCAAAGTATTTCCTTTGAACAGTGAATAATCTGTAGTGACGTCCTTATACTTTTATACTGTAATTAGAATTAATAACTTAAATGTTGCAAATATTGCTTCTAAATAGAACTACTGCTGTGTATTTTGTGAAGTTGATCTTTCTTAGGGTTGGAGATCAGCTTTTTTGGCAGCGTGATTCATTTCCTGGCTATATACTTTATTGTTCTGACTTACACAGGAAAGGATGAACAAAATTTTGTAGGGCAATCTATAATCCTCACAAGTATTAAATTCTGTCAGTGTTTTTTTTTCTTGCGCATACATTTCCACTCCGTTGCGGCATTTTTTTTTTCATTTTGAGGCTTCTCTATTCTAGATGTATCAGCTACTAATTGAGCATTTAGCGTAACACAGATATGATGTATACGGAAATGCATTCAAGAAAAGATCAAACCAGGAGGCTGCCTATCTGCAGTTGGACTTTAACCTGCTTGCTTTTAATAACTCTTAAATATAGATCCCAATGTATAGGCTTGGTGTGAATATCATTAAACCTTTCCCACTGTTCCCTTACGCTTTGAATGTTCACTGATCTGTGAAGATAGCAAATGGATAAATAAACTTAGACCTGGCAAATCAGAGAGATTTTAGAAATAGAGCTAATCTTGACTTTTCTTTAATGCAAAGATTTATGTTGCCTGGTATATTTATTTTTTTAAAACAAGAAGACAGAAATTAAAATACCACACATAAACTGACTAGCACTATTTTTTAATGAATTAAAAAGTGGTGGGGTTATTAACGTGTATCCTAGTCTGCTTGTCTTTCTACCTTCATTTCCCATTTGCTGGTAGTTGCATGAATTTTATTTGGCCTGAACCCCAGAGTACCAAAGAGAGGCAATGAAGAGAGAAGGCACCAAGTGAGAGGTACCCTAAGGGCTGAGATAATTGTTCGCGCCACTCACTTTAATCCACGTATTGTTTTTCTGAACCTTCCTTTTGGTGAGTGTTCAGCTATGTTCAGTGTTGCCAAAAAGCAAGGAAGATGAACGTTAAAAGGACTCTTTGGCTTGAGGCAACCAGAAGCCACTGGTGACCTTGTGAAATCAGGTCCTGTAGAAAGGTAAGGATACAGTTCAGATGTCTGCTGGGTGAGTCGTGAAGGGGGAGGTTGGGAAGGTTAGGAATTGGAATTTAGTGAAAGTGGGCCAGTCTGTCAAGAAGCTCAGCAACCATCGCTAGAAGTGGAGCTCCTCAGGGCCCTGGTTACCAAGGAACCTCCTAGAGTTGTTCAGTGCACAACCTGAACAAACAGAAGCCAGGACCTAGTATTCATATTGTTTATTCTTTGCAACACCTAACACAAAACATATCTGACACTGAGAGCTAATGAATGGTCCCTGGATAAGTGAAAGAAAGAACATACACAAAGGAGGGAAGAAAGGAGTTTTACGAAGAGTCTATTGATAAGAACCATGTTTATATTTTGAAGGTTATATAGAGTTTTTGTTCAATTTTATTTTGAGAATTAGGCAGAGTTAGAAAGAAACACAGTAATAATAATAATACAGCCTTGTACTAGCATGAAGACTGACGGCTTATAGAGTCTTTTTTTCATATTCATTATCTATTTCTTCATGGAAAAGTGCATCATAGGACATTTAGGAAATAATTGTAAATTAAAGAACATTGAAGGTGAGGCTTGAAATAAAAATGTAGAAGAAGTTCTTAAAGTAGATTTCTAACTAATGTTAACTCATGATGTTGTGTAACTAAAGAGAAAGACTAAACTACACCCAGGAGTGGCCCTGGATCAGAATGGGTAAGTAGAAGCACAGCATATATAGCCATTTATACATCATAAAATCATCCTGTTTCACCACAATTCCATGTGTATCTGAGCTGTGTACAGCTCGATGTAGTATTCTAGGCTTCCTATTTAAAGTTGCACCAGAGATCAGAAATTTTAAGAATTCCGAGAAGAGATATATAGATTATTAAAGACGAAAGAAATAGGATCTATTATAAAATGTTCAAATGGAACTTTGGTAGACCCTTATTCATTGTGCTAGAATTCATGATGATTCACATAATATAGCTGCATAAGGGGAAGGGCTGATTCTAATAATTTCAATTGTAATTATCTTTAAGAAGAGAGATTTAAATTTGGCTCCAAGCATAACACCAGATCTTCATCAAATACTCTTTGGTTTATCTAGTTTGGCCTCCGTGAAGGGATAGGGCATTCTAACAAAATTTTGGAGTGGTTAGTGCCTGACTTTTTGCAGCAAGGACAGAATGAAAAAAAACGCACCAACCCATTCAGACTAAGTAAGCAATGGAGGAGTTCATTTAAACAGGGGTTGTCAGAGGAAGTCATGGAATCTACTTCCCTGGAGAGTTTTTAAAATAGGCAAGGCACTCATCTTTCTGGGATACTTTCAGCCTGCAGAGTAGCTAAAGGACAGCCACAGGCCCTCTCAGGTTCCCTTCTACCTCTACAAGTCTGTAGGCTAAAACAATATCCCAGAAGGCCTCTTTGGCAGGGCAAGCTACAGTCACCCAGGCTCATGTCTATCTATGATATTTTCTCACTGCATGGAATGATAAGTATAGGAAGGAGGGTGGGGTCGGAAAGATTCCTCAACCACACTCTGTTGGCATTGCCAAGACAGGCATTCCCTCTGCCAGCATTGGCTGAATGCAAGAGGGATGCCAGTTAGTACAGGATGATCATGTTCGGTTGGATTTCATGTGTCCTATTGTCTTACGGTGTGTGGTATGTGTGTGTCTGAAAATAGGATAAGTAAAATGAATTAGAAAGAAAATTCAGTTAAAAATTAGGAAAACAAATGGGGAAAGAACCTGCATATTCTCTTGAGGTTAGACTCTAACATCAAGCATTCGATCCTAACATTTAGCATTTGATTGGAAAGGTTCCTTTTGGGTCCGAGGCCTATCCTATCCAGGATTGTGGTCTATCGTGAGCAGATGGGGTTTCCCTCTTAGAAAATGAGCTTGGTTCCAGTTTCCTAGAGCCTTTGGGTAATGGCCGGTTGCTCACAAGAGCTGAGGAGACAGCGTAGCTGACAGGCACAGTCAGAGGCAGCTTTAAATATCACGCACCCTATCATTTGGTGGGTGGGAGTGTTGTCGCTCACTGTGCTTCCACTTCAACAAAGAAAGTGGTGGGTTGCTAGAAAACAAGGTTGCTCCATCTTAAGCATTATGCTGAATTCTTTTTAGAGAAGTGGGTTTTTAATGAAGAATTTTAGCTGAAAATATTTTCCAAATTTATTTAGAAAATTCATTTATCCAAGGAAAGTAATTTAAGCATTGTAGCAGGTAACTAGAATCTGTAGAATGAGAACAACTTTCTCTAACAAAAATCAATCTTCTTTATTCATCAAGTGGTCTCAGGTGCCCTGTGTGGGGTGGGGGCTTTGCCAATGCCACAGTTACGCAGACTGCTCAGAGAGACACTGGACCTGGCAACCTACTGCCCAGCTAATTTATAACCAGGTGACAGGTGGTGAAACTATGATTTTGTTCTTTTTAAATGGTTCTTTCTTTCCCATAAGTGCTGCTTTTTGGAAAGGTCACTTTCGTTTTCTTTAGGAAAATGAGCTTTTTCTTTCTCTCCTAAATGCTAAGTTGATGCCCTTCTCCAGAAGTCTTCCTATTAATTGAGTTGGCCTGAAGGTCATCAACTATAATCAATATGAAGGGTTGCTGCGAGGTGCTAATTGACACTCCCAAAGAGGAATAGTGTCAACAATCAATAAAGAGGACAGAGCACTGGTAGATTTATGGCTTTGATTTTGAAAAGGTATGGGAATGCCCAGTGATGTTTTCCTCCCCCCTGGTACTCCTTTTGAATGTTAATGCTTTCTTGAAGATGATTTCAGACACACTGCTAGGATACTGCCTCTACTCACTGAAGCAGAATCCTCTGAAGAGTTGCTGAGGCGGAACTGAAATCATGGCTCACCTCAAAGAAGCAGCAGTATTGGCCGTTAACGATGCCTCATACAGAAAGACGGTGCTCCTTTAACTCGGGGTTTTAATGGGAAGTTTCTAAGCCTGAAACAACAGCTTTAGACCTGGGGTGTGCCATCAACTGCCTTGCAGCTACCACTGTCTACTGCTTTCACACAGCGTGGTCGGGAAGAATGGAAACTAAAGAGGCTCGTAACTACCTGTAACTGTTCCACCAGGACATGGATCAAGTGTTTGTTCAACCAGAGCCAGGTACTTGACCCAACCTGTATCTTTGACGGGCTAATTAAATGCTTTTCTCTAACTTTACAATTGATGCATGAGCAATCATCGCATACATGCCTTTCGGATCATAGTTCTGAATTTAGATAAGTCTAATTAAACAGTTGCCAGATAAAGTTGAGAAGAGAGGGGGTAAAATGTAATGATGCCTTTATTTTTAAAGCATGGTTAAGTTTATAATGTTACTGATACTGGATGAAGAAGTAGTAAAACAGGCTTTTTTTTTTCTTTCCTAAGCTTCAGTAATTTATTTCTGAAAGCTGTTTGCCCATTATCATATTTTTTTTTCAGTCACCTAAAACGTCCAACCTTCCAAAATGTAACGAGGATGTTCTGATTTGTTTACAAAGGATCACAACTCAACCACTCTTATTGATAGCATTGACTGTCCTTGGCTGATAAGCTGTGTGCAGCACTAGCCTTTTGAGGTATCAGCAAGTAGCTGTTTTCACTATGAAACACACAAAGAAAGACAAAGAAAGCCAAGTGAAACAGTAGGGCTTATGATTTGAAGTTAAAAGTTCCAGTTTGCTAAGGGTGCCTTCTGACACCACTGGTTCCTGACTGAGCACCCTCATGGTATTTTCTGATGTTCTCAGCTAGGCAGCAGCCTTGCCCTGCAGTCTCTTAAAAATTCCTCAAGCAGATATTAGGAGGAAGATGAAGATGGAGAAGAAGTAAAGCTGAGATTGGGGCTGAGGCTGAAGAGAAAGGTCTCCTGTTGACCCAGAGCTTACAAGCAGCAGCGAGTTGAGAATAACAGGGTCCACTCCCAGCCCAAGCAGACGTGTCTGCAGGCTGACTTTGCAGGAACAAGCAGAGAACAGACTTCCAGTGCAGCAGTAGGGGCTGGCAACAGTTCTGAAACTGCCTGTTGACATTTGTAGCTGAAGACATCCTCATGTTTATAAAATCATTGTTCGTAGGCTTTCCCCTAGTAGACTTGAGTCTATGTTTTGAGAGTATAAAATAATATTTACCCTTAGTTGTCCTGTGAATTTTGAAGCATCAGGGCTATTGAATTGGAACAGGAGGACTGTTCTTGGAAAAAAAAAAAAAAAAACGTATAGACATTGTCGTGTGTTTATATGAGCCAAAAACAAGGGGAGTGGGAGGATTTAAAATCTATGAAACACCTAGAAAGAGCCAGGAAATCTTTACCTGAAGTTCTTTGCTGGTAAACAAGAGGGCCATGAATTATTTGAATTTATATGAAATATTTTATATCTTTGTGTGTATATCCTGTATTTACTGTTCACTAGAATAACATACAGAATTTCTAAAAGATTTGTAGGGGAATAATATTTGCTTATGTGGTGATTCCGTTGCTTAGATAATGAGGTGGCTTATGCAGATGGCTCACAATTGTGGTGGAGATGGATAACAGGATCATTTGGGAGATTTACACATCTAGGGTGGGTGAGTGGGTTGGAGAATGAAATGTACTTTGAGAGACTACAGTTATACAAACAGGAATGCAGCCCAGGCTTCCTTTAGTGCTAAAAGTAGAGAGGGATTCTATTTAGGCTCAGTATCAGGATGTGTATTACTTGAATCATTCAAAGCCATGTTAACATTTCCACAGTTAACTTCAGAACTGTTGCAGAATAATGCAGCATTTTGAGTAAGTTTGTCTCTGCCAGTCACTGCAAATTCAGTCCTGCCTAGCTAGGCAATTCCATTCCTAAGTCTACAGATTGGTCTCGCTAGTCTGCCAGATAAATATAAATAAGGTTCATAGTATATCTTTGTAGGATAAAGTGTCCTGTCCATCACATGTGAATGGAAACTGGACAAGCCCATGGGTGTCCTTGCTCAATGGATGGGCTGTTTTGACACCTACTTTTGAAACCATGTCAAGTCACATAACTAGGTTTCTGACCCAGAAGTTTTAAAAATTAGGTACCTCAATTACGTGGTTTAGGAGTACTTAAAATACAGACAGCATTGCTTCACTGTGCCCTACAGGCCATTAATACCTGAGGGACAACACCTTCAGTTCATTCCAACATGCCAGTGAAAAACTTGGGATCTAACATCCTTTGGCGGTGGGATTGTGGGTGTGGGGGGGGCTACCTGTTTGGTAACTGATTTTTATAATTCTTAGCTGTTTATTTATAATTTTCATACCTTAGTGTGCTTGATCACATAATAGAAATGAAAAATATTTATCATTTTGCACAAAAATGGTGTAAAGAGAAAACACTCATTCATCCCCACCTATTTATCAAACCCCCACTATGTGCCAGGCAGGACTACACAGGTACTGTAACTATTAATATGATCATTGCACCCTACTGCAAAAGGGTGGGCTCTTGAGTTGATGACATGTAGAATCAAGTCCTTCTGTGTGGCTCCACAGAACAAGGTGTCCAATGCACTTAAGTAATTCTGTTTCTGTCACTAAAAAAAGAAAGAAAGAAAGAAAAGAAACATGTCATTGCTTTAAGATAATTTTCTTAAGAGAAAGTATTTTTTCCTTACTGTGAAATTGTATAATGAGATGCGAATGAAATAAAATGTCCAAGGGATCCAAGTCTGAGAAGGGTACATGTTGACATTAATAGTTTTCGTGTAAGACATTTGGATTCAGGATATTTTAAATGGCTGCCCTTCCCCACCAAAAAGTAGATTAGGTAAGAAAAAATTGACTTCTTAAATAAAAGGGTAACTGTCTATCTCTGGCTAATTTTTATATTTCAGATCCACCCATCAACACGGAGGCCAAGGAAAATTTAAAGAGCCAAATAACTATGGCTCTTCAAATTACAAGATCTGTGGTTTTAACGTGTCATTGTGACTTGAACTAGCTGTGATTCTTTCAAACAAGACTTACTTCAAATGTGATGGTCCAGCACCTCAGTCTGGCTGGATGACTTGTGCTTTTGTTTTTCCTCTCTGCATCAGTTAGTTGGCGCCTTGGATTTTGAATTCAGTTCCCTGGACTATAAGGGGTTGAAGATTTGATTTAACCTATATTTAAAGAGGCAGTGATCCCAGAACAGCAAATAATTCCTCAAGGAGCTTATTGTATAATAAGGTGGAGATAAACACCGTCAAGACTTGCACTGTAATCAGTGCTGCCACAGAGTACTGGTGATGTCTCTGGAGATGGAGTGGAAAACACCCCATCCTTAGTGAAGGCAGACAAAGAAGGCCCCACTGAGAAGGGGGTATTTGGTGTGAACCCTAAGGGAGGGAGAGATGGAAAGAAGGAGAGGAAAGATGCTTGCCTCATTATGCTTGCCTCCTCTCTTTCTCTCCACAGATGGAAAGAAGGAGAGGAGGCAAGTATTACGAGGTAGGAAACCTGGAGGCATTCAGGGCACAGCAGGTATTGGATCAAGCTGAAAAATAGACAAAATGAGGACATTCTCCACAGGTGTCCAACACTCAGTTACATGGAAGTTTATTCTGATCAACACATCGGCCATTTTACTGAGAACTAAATGTGATTTGGTGTTGGCTCCTTCCTAAACTTATAAAAATAAAACTCCGATCTTAAAAATTCCATTGTCAGCGTAGGTCCTAATTTGTGGTCCAGAAAACATCTGGGCATCAGGCCCACAAGGGGGTTAATGGGCTGTGGACACTGGGATGCAAAGGTTTTCTGAGGGAAGAAGTGGTGAGGTCTGGGCTTAGAAAGATGCATCAAGATGCAGTGTGTAGGAAGTATGGGCAAGGGAAGAGGAAAGCCACTTTGAAAATTACTCAAACTAAAGCGAGCGGCTGAGAGTGCGAATGACCGTGGCTGTAACGACTATGCTCACTGGACTTCATAAGTCATTACGGTTGTCTTCTGTTTTGTCAATATCACAAGGGAGCTTGACTCGAGCAAAGGAATGTATTATATGACTTTTGAAAAGGGTATCTTTTAATTAAGGTTTTCTTTAATTTTTCAGCATTAAAATTAGACTTTATTTCCTGAGCACCCACAAATGGACCTGACAAAGGGAAGACACAGATGTACTGTGTGATGGGGAACGTCTGTCAGGATTAAAATACGGCCGTGAGTAACTGTGGTCCTTCTTTATACTTAAAATAGCTGCCATGTGTTATTATGAAGATTTCTGATGGTAGTGTCAAAATCCTTTGAAATAATAGACTTACACAGATTTCCCTGGTCATCTAAAAGACAGATGTCATTATTCAGTTAAAAGCAACCTTGCACATTTTCTAAGAATCATTTTTACCAAAAAGGGACATTTTACTGCAAGACAGTCATTTAAAAAATTTACATGTCCTGAGATATATTTGTATTGTGGTAGCAAAATGACTACATTTATTTCTTTTTCTCCACCTTATAATAGCTGATGCGTCCTTCAACTTATACATGCTGTTGGAGCTTTCTATATTGGTAAATTATTGATTAGCTGATTGCAGGTTTAAAATCAAGCAGACTCTTCCGGGGGTTTCAATCAGTCCTGGGAAAAATTGTGAAATAGTCAGCACTGGTTTCTGGATCTCTTTATCCCTTTAGCAACCATCTCCTGATTGTCTCTACCCACCATCCCTCATCCCTCTCCAAGGCTCTCCAGTGGGCCCCCTGCTCACACCACCATGCCTGTCTTCCTGTCCTGTCCAGGAGTCCCTCATTCCCAACAAGGTCTTCCTTCAATCGCCTTTCTACTTACCACATTTCCCCCTCCTTCAGGCGGGAACAGTCCTCACAAATTCCTGCTAGCACATTAATGTGCCACTTTCCTAGGTAAAATATTGCAATTTAATAGGAGACGTTGACACTTTGACTAAAAGCAGTTATTTTTATAGGAACTTAGGCACCACAGTGTGCTGGGGGATGAGAGGTTTACAACTCTAAATGTGCTACAGAGTTTAAAAAATTCTTTGACCTCTATTTGCTCATAATTTGGTATATTAGGAAGGGTTTGGTGATGAAGACGTTGGAGAATACACATAGTTATATTTTAGGAGGCTTCTCAATGCAAAGAGGGCTAACCCTTCCTTTGTACTTTGCCTTTTAATCAGTAGAGGATGGTAAAACTTCAAAATAAAACTGATTTTAAAAATCATTCTAATACTTGGCATCCTCATGCAGAATATGAGTCCCAGAGTCATTCCCAGGGTGGTTGAAGAGGCAGATCTGGCAGATAATCTGAATCAGGATGAATAAGTTATTTGCTGGAGTTTCTGGAATGGTTGCCTGTCACTGCAGCCCCCAAATGAATGGTTTGCTCGCTCTAAATCCTGAGTTGTGGGTGAAGCCTAGAAAGTATGACAGTTGATCCAGGAGAGAAGGATCTGGCATTTGCCCTGTATGGAAGAGAAGGCTGGGGAAGACTGCTCCTGGGCTCACAATGTTGCTCATCAAGTGGAGACCCCCGGTGGGAAGGGAGGGACTGAGCAAAGTATCGCGATACTAGTCAGCCTGCTTTTGCAGAGGAGGTCATTCTCAAGGACTCCAAAGGTTCTCTATCTAGTTCTTGCCTGATTTTTTGGATTTCACAGATCCAGAAATCCTTATGTCAATTTATACCATTAATGGTCTTTTTTTTCTTACATTTCCTTCTTGGATTATGTGGTGTTTTCCTAAAGAACTTTCTGAAAATGGCCGGGCGTAGTGGCTCATGCCTGTAATCCCAGCACTTTGGGAGGCTGAGGCAGGCAGATCACCTGAGGTTGGGAGTTCAAGACCAGGCTGACCAGCATGGAAAAATCCCGGCCTACTAAAAATACAAAATTAGCCGGGCATGGTGGCACATGCCTGTAATCCCAGCTACTCAGGAGGCTGAGGCAGGAGAATCACTTGAACCTGGAAGGCGGAGATTGCGGTGAGCCGAGATCGCACCATTCCACTCCAGCTTGGGCAACAAGAGCAAAACTCCATCTCAAAAAAAAAAAAAAAAAGAACTTCCTGTCTCAGCTCTGTTGAGAATGGGCAAAGAACAGGACTCTGGCCTCATTTGGGTTGGAGGGAAAAGGACATGGAATGAGATTCTGATAATCCAGCAAAGAGAGCAGGGATCACAGTGAGAGGATCCTCAGTAGGATATGAAAAAGCAGAAGGAGCAGGTCAGGGATGGCCTCAGCATCTGCTCCTCTGTCATCAGTGGGTTTTTCTTTGGCCCAGTCCTTGGAGAATTTTATGTTTCATATGATTAAGTGTAGTTTGAATCTTTTTGGTGGACACAGGAGGCCCTGTCTGATGTGCTGAGGAGACCTGCATTGGAGGCTCTGGCCTCCCTTTCTGCCCCTCCTTTCCTGGCCCACAAGGAATTAATACCCAAGGCTGGGAGGGTGCTTAGAAACAAGCAAACCAAAACAAAAGCTAGTGCATTAACATCCTCTAAATTCCTAAAGAGCTTATTTATTAAAAATGCAGTCAAATTTTTATCCCAATCTTACTTCAAAACAAACATGAATTATAAATGAGTTTTGCAACTGTTCTAGCCTTTAAAAAAAATCAAAGTGATAGAGCTGCAAAAATGATGCATTAAAAAAAAGGTAACTCCTTCCTCCCAGATCCTGGCTGAGATCCCCCTTATAAACTGTATTTTAAACAGTGATTTTATAAACTTTGAAGTGTCAATATAATGCAGACTGTTATACTATGATTACTAATGCTGTACTTGAAGGCAATGATTATAAGTTAACTGAAGAAACATTGTATTGATACTTTAGGTCACATATTCTATTTTTATTTGGTTGTTTATTTTCATTGAACAAAATTTATTTTGTGTCTGTGTTAATTTCCATAACTAGTTACTGTGCTGTGTAATTTTTATTATAAATGAATTTATAATAAATGTTATTTAATTTTCTATACAGCAGTGTCTAATGTATATACTTTTGTTTACAATGTGATTTAAGTAGATTTACTTCAGTATCTGAAGCTTTTAATGACCTCTGTGTATACTTGTCATGTATATACTTGTATATTTCTATGGTAATATATACTTGTATATTTATACAGTAATATCTACATATCTAAGTTTTTCCACCAGTAAAATTAAAATAGTGTTAGCTTGTCCTTTTCCTTCTCTTCCTCTGTACCAAATAGTCTTAAATGGTAGGAAACCACTGTAAGGAAAACTATCCTTTTGAAAATATGCATCGATCAATTCGTTTCTCTTGGCTTAATTCTCTAGGTGCTTCCCAGGGTCAAGTATTGAACCTGGTCTTTGTTTTCTGAGGAAAAAAGAAAAAGCAACAGTAACTTGATGGTTTGGGAGTCTGAGATACCTCCGTTCTCCCTTGGCTCAGGCAGTAGAAAGGAAAGGAGAAGCAGCATAGCTCCCTTAGTTGTATCTTAGGTGAAGCAACACTTGGCTTTGTTTGTTTTTCTTTTTTTGTATACTTTTCAAAGGGTTTTCACAACTCTTCATTTTTTTTACAGCACCATGAAAGATGCAGGCATTTCTACTTGCATTTTTATAGCTTAGTGACCTCTCCAAGGTCCCACACTTATTTTGCAGTAGAGTGGAGGCCGGAGCCCAGAACCTGACGCTCCTGGAGAAGGTTTCTATTTTAGCCACCTTTTCTAGCCTCAGTTTCCTTGCACTGGGGCTACAGAGATCCCTGCTTTCATGAAGCTCACAGTAAAGTGGCTAACGTGTGTCAGTTTAGCCACGGTGCTGGCTGAGGCTCGCTCAATGGTGCTATCATAAGAACAACGTGAGAGTAATATTAGTGGAGCGGAGCTGAAGGAGACTTGGCAGGGGAGGCTGGGTTCGGATGTCAAGTTGACAGCACACCCTGAGGTCAATATTACTGTGCACATTTCTTATCTTCTATATTATAGTTGTATTCCCTGCCCATCCCTCCTGGCCCCAGGTGGCTCTTCTGAGAACAATCTGGTAATTTCATGCAAGAGTAAAATATCTTTCCCCATAATTATACAGAATTGAGTATCTCTGGTGAAAAAGAAAGCTGGTTTACAGATTTCTTTTTCTCTCTAAAAAATAGGACTGTGAACCTAAAAAATAAGGCTGCTATTTTATAGGTATTCCCTTCCCTTCCTTTTTCCCTGTAGATAACTCAGCCTCTCCAGAGTGCAGCCACCATGACCTCTGCAGATTGATGATGGAAGAAAAGGAAACCAGGACATCCTGTGCTCTGGCTTCCCTGGACCATGGATGGAGGACAGCCCATCCCTTCATCCCTAGTGCCCCTTGGGAACATATCAGCAGATTCTAGCATGTCCCTGGAGCAGAAAACGACATTTGTTTTTGTGATTTTGTTGTTTATCTTCTTGGGCATTCTCATTGTCCGGTGCTTCCGGATTCTTTTGGATCCATATCGAAGCATGCCAACCTCTACCTGGGCTGATGGACTTGAAGGCCTGGAGAAAGGGCAGTTCGACCATGCCCTTGCTTAGAAGGGATGGCGCAGGATCTCCTCCTGAGGAGATGAAGTGCTTCGTGTCTTGGCGAGGATTCCCTTTATGTAGTGTTCTCAACAAATCAAATTTAAACAATATTTGGTCCCAGGACCATAATCCATTATTCCATAAATATGCAGTTGGATTAAAGGCATTTGGGGCTGTTGGAAATGGACATTTATATAACTAACACAACATAAGAAGGTTTAAATTTTTATGTTTGCTCAATGAATGAATACTCTTAAACTTGTGTGATTGTGAAACCAAGAGCATCAATACTGACATAGATTTGCCATCAAACACACACCACCTGATCTGACTAAAGTATAAAAGACTAGAAAGGATCTCATATGAATCTGGTGACAAGATCAGGAAGAGATTTCCTTGCTCTAATTATGTCTATATTTGTTTTATTTCATGCGCATCTATCTGGGTCTTGAGCAGAATGAGGAAGATTGCGCTGAATGGACCCAAAGTAGTTCCTTGTTTTCTCCTAAAGCAGGGAGCATTGGGAAGCAATGGCAAAGCTTAAGAGATGGTTCTGTCCTTGGTAAATGTGAGTGAGAATTGTGTTTTGTTTTTCAAGTAAAATTTAATTCAAAGGCTACAGAGTTTTAAAAACTATTTACCAAGCCAACTACATTATATGTATTCATATTAATAACATGTGTAGAGGTAGCTATACATTACTTGAATTTACTCTTTACACAAATGATTTAAATAATAGGCTGCAAGTGCAGCTTCAAGTTTTTTTTTTAATGAAAAGTCAATTGTTTAGAGGAGAAGACTTTTTTTTTTCAGAGGGATGTGTATTTATGATTGTATATAGTCACCAAATAAAACTTTTCAAGAAACAGAAATGCTTCCTCTCTTATTTCACCAGAACTAATGCACTGAGGGTGCTACCTGGTACTGAGTGCTGAGGCTTAACATTTTTCCAAGAGAGGAGAAAAGCGCTAACAGCATGAAAGGTCATCTAATTCATCCCTCTCCCATTTCAAGAAGAGCGCCTATAAATTGTCCTGCACAGATAAAACCGATAGTTTTTAAGACCACCAAAAAGGGAGATGTGAATACCTCTTATTTCAACTTTTATTGGAAGGAAAAGCTTGTATCTAAACCAACCCTGCAGATAACTCAGCCTAAACCGACCGTGTTAGGCTGTGTTTATAATCTCTGTCTTCTAATTTTCTCCTCAGCTAGTCATTACCTTTTTTAATTAAAAAAAAGCACACTTCTTTAACCTATTAATTGTAAGATTTTCTTTTTTTTTTTCAAAGGTACTGTGTCGTGTGTGTCCTCATTAATTTTTTTTTGTATTTTTGTTAGAGTCTGTTCAAACCCACTCATGTATTTATGGAGCTCTTGCTTTGAGCCTGGAATTGCTAGCACCAGAGAGAGAGAAAACAGACAGGGCCAGTTCTTAATGTTGAGTACTTTTCTACCTTGTTGGATGGAGAGTACATTTAAAAAGGCATATGACTGAATCATTGTTCAAATGACTAACATGGACTTGATGGTTCCCAAATCATCAGAATCAACTGGGGAGCTTAATATGTGTGCTAATTTGTATTATTTTTTTACATTCTATTTTTATTTTTATTTTTTTAAGAGATGTATTTTTTTTACATTCTATTTTTATTTTTATTTTTTTAAGAGATGGGATCTTGCTCTTTCGCCCACTGGAGTTTTTTTGCACAATAGCTAATTTTCATTATAAAAGTTGTACATCATCATGGCAAAAAATTTTTTATACAATATGGAAAAATATAAACAGCACTAGTCAAAATTCTACCAGCTTGGGTCACCCTAACTCCTAACTCCAATTTTTCCTGGGGAGTTTATTGACAGTGGACATTATTACAGTGTTTCATCTCTAGGGGTTGATTCTGTAGAGTTGGGTTAGTGAACAAATGCTCCAAGAGATAAAACATGAGGAAATATGAATGTAGCCAAAATAATTAAAGAAATGTCCAGGAGACCATGGATCAGGTATAATTGTGCATGTTTAAGTGCTTGGCATAAAGTTTAATGCAATGTAAGTTATTATTATGAAATAAAATAAATCTTGACCTATGATGGAGGTAGTTGATGGAGGTAGTTTAGACATGTGCAAAGGAAAGGAAGAGGGAAAACCATAGAATAAGGAAACAGAGGTATGGGTGTGGGGCTCAAGGCAGGAGTGCAGCCTGGCTGGAGTAGAGAGTTGGAGAGGTAGCTGGAGCTCCTACGGGAAGGACAAAGGCAGAGCTAGACCTCAGAGGGTCCTAAAGAGAAAAATCAAGGGTGGGAGTCACCATAGATTCACGAGGAAAAAATGACCTAAGGAGTGGTGTGTCAGTTCCAGCTTCCGTGCCCTTCCTCAGGGCAACACTAGGATCCATTTCTATAATGGGAACACGTTGAAATAGCCACCTGCTCCCTAAGAGGCCTTTGAGCACAGGCATTGCCCACAAGTGCCACAGGGCCTCCCAAAGCCTGCCCTTCTTTCACTCCTCCCTTTATTTCCCACTCTATTTTTGTTTTCCCTTCTTAGATTACTGCTCCTTGTTCAACCTCCCTTCACTGGCTCTCCTGCCTCCTCCCTTGTCCAGAGCAAGAGTACCATCACAAGTGAAAAAAAGCTTTGGGCTATTCACAGTAAATTGATCCCCCCAAAAGAAGTGCTAACTCTCTGTTTTAATTACTCCGGGCTTCTTGGAGTGAACAACTGATTCTCAAAAGGTCACATAAGCTCTCTCTTTCCTGGCTTTCTGGCTAAAGGAGTTACAGTGCAGCACTTTGCCTATCTCACAAGATATTTATAACGAGTGCAGCTGGCCTTTATGAAGTATATCTGCATCCCAGGATGGGGGAAAGAAACCCTGGACTTCCCCAAGGTCACTCTCTAGAATAGACCTGCCTTTTGATTCAGAAAAATGCGCAACCTCATTCTTAGCCTGAGCTCAAAATCACAACCCTATGTTTTATTCCCCCAGGGATCCCAAGTTCTAGATCAACATTTCTCCCTCCAAGAGACCTTTTAAAATACTTTAAACACTGCGTAAAGCAAGTTTAACTTGGGTGTGAAGGAGCCTAACTTGACCCTGCTGTTAAATTAATAAACATTAATAAACATTTCAAGACAGGCAATTCTTTTGCTATTTTTAAGGGTTAAGGCTGAGGAAAAATAAACAATTTTGAGAGGCAAAACTTAGAGAGAGCAGATGTTTATGTATGCAGAAAAAATATGTATTCAAGTTCCTTTTATATTGGATTCATTGCAGTGTTTTACTGAAACACTGAAGCTTTTTTTAATGTGAACATATTGATAAATTTGGTACAATGAGAAATTTCACTTGTTCACTATAAATTACTTTTTTAAAAAAACCTTATAGTTTCAAGATGTCAACTTTCAGAATTGACATGTAAAATATATTGAAACATGGTTATTTTCAATAAATAGTCTAAGCCCAAAAACATTGAATAAAACCTAAGATATGATTTGTGAGATGTTTGTCGACCAAGAAAAATTATGTAAGATGGGTGTCTCAGTTGTTGATTAATCAAAAAGTTGTAGAGTTGAGCCGTGATCTCCAGAAAGTACCCAAATGACTATACGTGTGTATGCGATCCAGGATCCAACTGGCCTACTCCAGAAGAGATTTTTTTTGTTTTGTTTTGAGATGGAAAAGGAGAACCCTCTAAACTTTGTACTTCCCGTTTCTAACAAGAATAAATGAATTATTTTCAGAGAGGGGTGTGCTCTGAGGACATGAGGCCTCCCCATATGGCATCTTGCTCTGGTCAGGTGAACCAAGCCCAATACTTTAGCCAGTCTTTAGTCCTTTCCAAGGTCATGTTTTTATAATAAAGTTCCCAGCTGCATTTAGTACAGTGGAAATTTTGCCTTCAGTTTTCTGCTATAAACTATACTCATGTCTTTTTCTAAAGCACCTCAAGATCATCTGAGATCCCTCCATCCCACAGCCTTTCTCAATATCCTGATTGATGTTTCTCTACTTTCTGTGCTTCAGAGTAAGAGAAATTCCCTTTAAACTATCTTTTCAAAGAGATTTCCACCCTTATTCTCTTCTAGGCCTTATGACCAGCCCCAGAGCACCAAACTTATGCCAGCTTTTAAGAAAGAGGCTCTTCCTGGGTTCTTTGGAGTTTGAAAAGCTGGAAAGAGACATTGCTGTCATCTATTTCAACCTCCTCATTTTACACACAAAGAAACAGAGAAGCAGAGAGGTCATATGGTATGACCATGGCCACTTCTCCACCCACTGGTTGTAGCTGTAGCAACTTACTTATGTGGTGTGCAAATGGGTTCAAACAGAAGGGCCAGTTGATAAAACCATAAATAAAAATATCCATTTGTTAATTGACATGAAAGTTATAATAATCTTAAATAGTCTCTTTTGGCAGGGATGAGGGAAGACATATTTTGTTTCTGAAAAAAGTCCTATGGATGTTGTATTTTCTTTTGCAATATTCTGAAGCTTCAGTTTAAGTGTCCAGGCAACGAGAAGTATTTCCAGTTAGATTGTAGAGAATGCCTTAACAAAAATTCTGTTTCTCAAAACACAGCATAATCAATCTAGGAAAAAGAATCAAAGTTAGTTTCTTTTTTTGTTTTTCTTTTTTAAAAATTTCCAAGTAGATTATTAAGCTGTTTTTCTTAGCTAAAGAAGCTTGACAAGGGATATTACAACATAAGTTTATAAAGGCTCTGGATACTGCTCTGTCTATGGCTTATCAAAGAGTTATCTGGATCCTCTTGGGACATAGATATGACTTCAGAAAATATACAATTAAGTATTTCAAGTTTGCAAGTACACTTTATCCTTTTCTGTTCTGCCTTTTTTCCTAGTTACTTCACTTCTTTTTCTCCCTCTACTTTCTGATAACTGGAGTGCTGGAAGAAGTTTGATATAACCACTACATTCAGTGATTCTCTGGTATATTAATATTTTTCTCAATAGTCAACAACAAGTGGCTGCCTAGTTTCTTCCTTAACATGTCTAAGGTCTTAAAGTGACCATCCCATTTTTAGCTTGTTCTGTTGTTTATAAAATATCTCTTTATCAATCCCAAATTTGTCTTTCTGTAATTTTTGCCAGTTGAGTCTTGTTTTGTCTTCTGGAGTGACAGAGATTTCTAATACTCGTTAACATGCCAACTCTCAAAATATAGTTATTGTTGAAAGTCACACTCCATGGATCATTGCTGTTTCTGCATGTTTTTCCAGCAGAGGCACTGACAACGTTTTGTTCTTTTCAAAGAGATTTGTTTAGAGATAGTATCTCCCTTTTCCTAAAATTGGCTGGGCAGGTTTGCTTGCAGCTCATTATGAAAGACTGGGTTTTCCTAAGCTCAGAGTTCCCCTCCTGTAATGCAGCCCATTGTGTGCACCAAGCACCATCTGGCTTTTTTTTGTGTTGCCCTGTGGGAACTGGAGCTTAAGGAATTGGCACAGGAAAATGCTGATACTCAGTGTTGTGATTGCTGTAAATGATAAACTGTCCTTTGTCTCTGACCCAGAGGTCTTGTGTCTTCTGCCAGCATCCATGAAACTGTGGCAAACTAGTTATCCGTAAAGTAGGGTAAAACCTCAGATCCTTCATTGTTTTTTACGGTTATCATATTCCCCCAGGATAAACAATTCCAGCTCCTTCAACCACCCTACATAATTTTCACATGCTTTGAATTATCTCTTATTCTTATCAAAAATTCTGGATGCTCTTCAGTTTGACCATCTCGTTGGTACCTAGAAAGGAAAATAATAGTTCATAGGTGGTCTGACTAAAATGAGGGGAATCAAATTATCACTTACTTTGTTTTGAAAACTGCATGACTTTTTATACCTGACTC